TTGTTAAATACACAGCTTTCAGTTTTCATTTTTTAGGATTTATGGCATTGTAAAAGTGTCAAAGAAGATGTTCTTGAGCTCTCTCTACTTTTAGTCTTGGGTGCGCTGCTTCTATAGAGACACAGGACGTCATATTGCAGTGAAAAATGAGGCCACAGTGAATAAAAATGTGATAGGAGAAAAAAAAATTCCGAGCATGAGGTTTAGAGGGTTCAAACTGAATGGAACGTCTTTAGATTATGAGACACAAACTCCGAAAAGAACCGACAGGCACATGTTCTGCCTTTGACATGCAGGTGGGATACGTTCTGATTTTTCTCCTGTCGATGTTACTGTATAACTTCAGAGAAGAGCAGATTTATTAATGCACTCAGTAAAATGAGCAGAGCAGTCTTTGGTCTCATTGGATGTATCTCATGCAAATGTCAGCCACACACTGAGAGGGAGGAAAAAGACTCGAATGAATGTGAAACACAGACAAACACCTGAAAATCATAGAACATACGTAATGGTCCAAGCTGCTAATCAGTCTTGCCTGACAGATAATATGTTTCTATCCATGCACAGACAGAAAATCACTGCCAGCACTCTATTCATAGAGACAGGGACCACTACTAAGAGTGAAACTGAAATGGATTGAGGGAATGTTGCATCAGCACAAAGTCTAAAACAGAAACTGATCATATCTTCCACCCAAAGACGACTAAGTGTGAAAGTGAAATGAAAGGGAGTGGAACAAACACAAAATAAAGCCATATATGGAGAGAAGTAAGAGCTGCAAGAGGAAGGAGGGACGACCTTACCCTGCAGATCTCCAATAATTTCATAGAAGTACATGTTTTATATTTTACAAGCAAATTGAAATTATACATTTCTTACCAATAAAATGTGCTACCTATAAATAAAATATTAATTCTGAAGTATTCTACAGTATATCACAGTGAACATCTGAGACGTGTTTCAATCAATGTACATGTATTTAAACTTGGAGCTACACTGAGGTGGAGGCTACATTTATATTACAATAAAACACAGATACAAATAAAAAAAAGTAAATTAGCAATAAAACATTTACAATTTTGCAAAATATTAAAACCATTAACAATAAATAAAGCTGTTAAGATTCATCTTTATGGGCTAAGTTCCAGTTACTAATAATAACTTGAAGAGGGCATCATTACTTTTTCTGAAAAAAGACAAAACTTCAGACAGAAATCCTCATCCCAGCAGTGGCGTACGTGAATATCTGATTTTATTATTTATATT